GGGTATGTATGTGGCGATTCCACCAAGTGGAACTGCTCGATCGCCTGGTAGGTGTGGCTTGCTATGCCGCAGCCATTGGGTAGGAGTTCTTTTGCCTCATGGCTTATCCAAGTTGTGAAGGAATTATGGAAGGAAAGTCTCCCCAACGGAAGGCTCGTGTTGCCAATGGCGCCAGGAGCTAGCGCAGATCCCCAGCTTCAACAACCCGTGGATGCTGTTCGCGCAACTCGCCGCGCGACGTGGGCGGCGTGACCCGACTACTCACGATGGAGCCGCCCTTGTTCTCACACGTACTAGCAGTGCTTCCTAGCTAGTTGACTTGACAGGGCAAAGAGAGAGAGAGCTAGTGAGAAATGTGGACACAGAGAGTTTAGAGAAGAAGAGGAGCCGCTGCACTGATACGTGGGTGGACCGGGTCGCGTTGCAAATGCGCAGCGCCCGCTTACGTCGCCGCATTTGCCGCGGCTGGGAAGTAATGCTCCACACCCACGTCAGTAGGACAACATAGACATACTGTGGAACAACTTGACGGTTACCTTCTCAGCTTCGGCTTTTGCCACGGCCGCCTCCATTGCGGCCATTTGTAACTGCACTTTCAAATCGGCTAATTGCTGGATTTTCTCCATTTGTTGCCTCTGAAAATGCTGGAAAAATCGTGGATCACTGAGCGCTAATATAAGAGAGAAGGGCCATTGGATGGAGTAAGTGCTGCAGGTAAAGTCGAGGCAACTAAAAAGCGTCAAGGGTAAGACGAAGTGCTAAAAACTCGCTTAAAGGAGACGTACCTCTGACATAACTGGTATATGATAAAAGTTCTGTGTTGCAGCGGCACAGGCTAGGCGGACAAGTTGAATGAAAACCTATCAATAGTGAGCTCTGTTACACATCAGATAATAACCAAGGTCAAAAAACAAAAGCCTCCGAGGAGGAAAAGTTTACTGGATGGCACGCGTTACAATCGATCTACTGCCGAGAATCAGCTGAGGCACCACTGGCCCTCTGACATCTGGTGGCTCTATGGGCAGCTCTTTTAGAGAATGGTGGACAAGTTTAATTTCAAAAATTCAGTTTCCTCATTTCAAGGAAGAACCAGTAAGGGGATTAAGAGTAAACGAGTGTGATAAGTAGTGATTAGTCTTTAATTTCATTTTCTACTTCTGGGTATCCAAAAAAGAGAAGCCAAACATAGGAAGTGGACCGAAGACAGGGATGAGGCAAATTGGAACTTCACAGCACCGATACCGTCAACCAGGCGAGTAAGAAAGGCAAAAGATAAAACTTCCAGCATTGATCATTTTCCTTCTGGGACTCCACGCCCATTAAGAACACGGCTCGTCCCTGGTTGTTGATCCCCAGCTAAGGGAGGAGGGGTATCAGGTTGTTGGTGGAAGAGAAAGTTGCATTTGTCTTTGTAAGAATGTCTTCGGTTGACGACAATTTTTCGATTTTTCCTCTTTCACATGACCTATAGACTTCAACCGCTTCCCGCACCTCCCTCGCTCAGTGCTGTCTCTTAGAATAATAAAAAAAAAATCTCAAAATTCTTAAATTCTGAACTCGGGAAAGTGATGGGAGGTTGCGAAGGACGTTAGTAGGTAGGATGGGAGATGGGAAGGGGGAGGCGTAACAAGGGAAGGAGGTTTGAGGGTGAGGGGGTGGTCGTAGTTTGCAAATAATTCTCACGATGGCAGGATGTTCCCTGCGCGTCCCTCACCCCACCCCATCCACCTCCTTACCAGTGCTTTCATTAGAACCGCTTACCACCTCAAGGTCCAACCAGCCACCAGGTACTTTCAGCTTGAGGATTCCTCCAGTGGGAGGGGAAGGGGCTCATTTTTGTCTTAGTCGATAGTCGAGAAAAAAATTTATGAACAGTGTTTACTTTTCCCACTCCAGATGTGTTATTAATTTGGAGAGTGCTATTTGGCATCGATGCACACCCCTCTCAAATGTTCAAAGCTGACCGCCGGTTTGCCAGCGGCTGAAATACGACCCCTCACAGAGTGTTCCGAACCTGGACGTGCCTCTGCAGATTTTAAATTCAATTTTCGTACTCGTTGGAAACGAGTGTGGGCGCTGTCATCATCTGGGTAGTGATTGCAGCAACGCCCCCTGATGTATGCAAATGGACGCCTTGCAGCAAGATCTTTTTGCAAGGGTTGTCGCTTTTCCAAAATGCTGGGAGCAAAGAGTGAGCTGAACATGCAGTGAAAGAATCACCCTCCTATTTTCTAGAAGTTTCGCTCATTTGGGAGGGACTTGTGGAAGGAACTGTTTAGTCGAAGGTGATATCCTACGAAAAAGATCAGCAGCTGCGCAGAAGTTCTACTCACCCTTTTATGGAAGAAGCATCTCCCAGGTAGTAATAGAGTCAAACCTCTCTTGGAGTCAAACCGCTTTGCTTCATGTCTCCAGACGCTCACCGCTGGAGAAGTAACGGTTTAAAGTGACTCTCCTCCCATATACACAAACCCCGCTTGCACACATTTCTGTAGGGCACATTGATCAGCACCTGGCCTCTAAGGTTTGGAAGCTCTTGACGAGCAGTCCTTTGCTGGATTGTGAACCTACTTGGATCCAGGATAGTAGTGACATTCTGAGCACGGTTTGGTAAATGCAGCCACTTGGGAGAGAGGGCGAGGCTGGGAGCATTCGATTCACAAGTAAGGATTACTGCCCTCCCAGACGACAACGTGATACCAGTTCAGCTGTTACCGAGGATTTGGAAGGGTTCTTTGTCTGAGCGAGAGCCGAACGGGGTTTTTTTCCTGGCCATAAAAAGATAAGTAGTGCCATTTACCACCATGCTACCTGCGCTCCATATCTTTCCTATGTCATGATTACTACGAGAGTGAAGCTCGAGGACCAGGTGTAGAGCTTTCATTGCGTGTAAGGATGAAGAGCCACGCTGACTAAACGCGAAATTCAATGGTAATCTGGCACATCTCGGTCCGCCGAAATCGGGAACTAAAGGAATCTTGTGCACTACAGATGCTGGGGCGTTGGGAAGCTGGGTGGCACCAGTCCATTCTGTTGAAGTGGCAAGAGACAACAATTGGTGGAGGTGGGCTGGCAGTGCGCCAAACGCGGTCCTCTCCATACCCCAGGCATCCGCAGCGAATAAGACACTAGAAATCTTCGTACAATACAGCGTCCTATGGGACAGGTATTGGGATACATCGCTAATTATTCCCTGAGATTCCTTGTGGCCAGAAATATCAAAAACGACTGGTTCTATGAATTGTCTCCAGAAATCGCTCGAAAGGAAATAAGTACCCCTTCAGCGTTCCCGACCTTAATTTGTATGGAATAACTTAATGATCCATAGATTAGCCGGTAATTATGGGCAGAGGTGGGAGACGAGGAGGTGTGAAGACGTTTAACTGAAAAAATGACAAAAAATTTGTCAAAACTCTTGAGCAGGTGATTGATGTGAAAGAGATGGGGCTTGCGGCCATTCGCAAGCCATAAAGGGAAATGAAAACTGCGCTGGAAACTGCCTGATGTATCCGAAACTATCCATGGGTTCCGAGGATGAAAACATAGAGATTGATGAGCCATACCTTGGACATTAGGTTAGCTCGTCCATAAAATAGGTATACGGTGCATGGTGTTGATAAATCGCCCAAGAAACAGCTATGCGTAATTGTAGGTTGAGTGCAACCAGCGCGTTTTTCTCGTTCAGTGTGGCCTTGTGGCCTAATGGATAAGGCGTCGGACTTCGGATCCGAAGATTGCAGGTTCGAGTCCTGCCAGGGTCGAAAAGTTTTGCATTTCTGTGTTCAACTCTGCATTCCAAAGGCTACCCTGTTTGAGAGATTCTAACAGAAAGCAACATTTATGTGTTGTAGAAGGTTTCCCACGTTAGGTCCACGTGAACTTTGTTGGCCCAGCAATTAAACAAACAATCGTGAGTAAAATAAATGCAAAAGATTAGAGTCGTGATGTGATGATTTGTCAGCAGGACGCGTCGTATCTGAAGATCCTAAGTGAGAGGGTTCGTATTTCGATGTTTTCGGTTGGTGACATTTCTCGGTTTTCCTGTTTTCCTGCGCTTCATACTAGCTCTCACCCCCCCCCCCACCCCTCTTGCTCAGCGGCGAATTCTGGGGAGAAGCTGGAGAATTCTCGGAAGAAACCAAGGAAGAAGTAAGTAAGAGGAGTAGGAGAAACAAAGTGTAAGGAGTTAGGTAGGATGATAAATAGGAAAGTGGAGGGGTCGCATCAGGAAAGAGGGAACTTTCAACGGGGTGTTTTGCAAAAATAATTACCCCAACGGCAGGACGTGCCCTGATTCCCAGCATTGATTTTGTTATCCGAAGTCTGAAGAATCCGACTTTTCTAGCTGAGTCAGTCAAAGAACAGCTGGCTTTTTCTGAAGAATCAAATATTAAATGGGATGGACACGGGGTATTTTTTTGACTAATAGACCAGGGTAGTAATCTACTGGAATCCACAGGACGTTCATGGCCGGTCGCCAGACCACTATCAGTCTGATAACACACTCTTCAATGAAAAAACCCTGCGCACAAGTAATGAAAACGCTTCTTGTTCCTCGTAGCGAAGAAAGGATCCACTAGACTTGTTCGGGTCAAAAGAGTTACATAAAGATGTAACTGACGCTCGTACAATTCTACGATGGCCAGCAAGACGATCTGGGTGTCATTGTCAAAAACTCTTGCTCTCAAAACTTGAGGCAGTCCCAACACGACTTCCAGTCAGTGTGCGTAGTTCGTTAGGAATCCCCAGCGAGGGGGGGTCGTATTTGGTCGCAGGAGGAAGACAAGAGCCGCATTTGCTTTTGTGAAGAAATGTTTCGTGGTTGACGTCGTGTTGCACGGTCCTATACCCTCGTCAATCGACGGCGCATGTTGATTAGGGCGGTCGTCAACGGGCCGCAGCGCGTGCCAGGAACTATTTGCTTTTTCCAGGCTAATTTAGTCATTTTTTCCAACTTTTCACTGTTTTGGCTACTTTTTCCCAGATTAGCAGCTCCTTATCTTCACAAGGTGGAAAAAATGACTAAATTAGCCTGGAAAAGCAAATAGTTCCTGGCACGCGCTGCGGCCCGTTGACGACCGCCCTAATCAACTGCCCGGATGACGAGGTTAATCCCCCAGCTTTCCCCACTCCGCTCAGCTTGACGGGTTTTTGTGAAAAGTAAGTGAATTTTCGCGGAAAAGCTCTGGAAAAGTGGTGAAAAGTCGATAGAGTTTGGGGGATTTGAGACAGGAGGGCAGAATGGTGAAGAACGAGGTAAGAGAAGAAAATTTTTGAGGACGGCGAAACCGCAAGTTTCTTCGACGTTGTACGAGTCCGTTCCAAGTACGAAAATTGTGTGGGAAAGTCGGGAGAGTGCTCATTGAATTTTTCTCTTCAGCAAATGGGGGATGAGGAAAGCAGGTGTGCAGTTACAGCTGACCAACGCCAAGATGAAAGCGAAAGTGTTTCTTAGAAATATTTCAGAAATGCGAAAACAGTTCCTAGATAGTAATTATTTGAAAAGCTCAAAACACCGCCTTTTAGGGAAGAGTTCCCAAAAGATGACACCGAGCTGAAAATGCCAGAGCATTTCTATCACCACCTGAACAAATACTATAAGTGAAATCCAACAAATGAATCTGAGGCGTCGGTACAAATCTTGGTGTGTTAGACGCTTTGTCCCCTTAGTCAATGGTGTCCGTCCGTACTTCATAGCGAAAAGACAAATAGAGTGACGCGCTCGCCGCCGCGTTCTGAGCAAACTCGTCCGTGCACTGCTGCTGTCCGCTGCCACTTCAATAATTGCTATACA